GTGCACAAACCATCACACTACGTCAGGGTGCGGTCTCGTCGTGATGATGTTAGACTGGATCAAGTCTAACATCAGCCTGGTTCTCCCGCGTGCACTCTTTATGTGCGGCAGACAATAAAAGGAATATGATCCCAGCGAAAAATCTAGAGGGAATGTTGATTAAACGAAGTCCTCTGTGGTTTTCACAGGAGAACCTGTCGCCTTTCTTGTGAATCGGTGTGATCACCGAGTTTCGTCAACTTCAAGACAAAGGTTGGTCCTCCATCCTTAAAAGTCGATGGGAACAGCCCATCTAGACCGGAGGCCTTATGCCTTTTGAGATAACTTACTTCCCGGGAAACGACCACTTCAAGTGGAGGACTGGCATTAACTTGGAGTAATTGGCCAGTCGAGTTAGGGGGGGGGGGGGANAGGTCGATGGGGGCCAGCTGAACTGAGCTGCGAAATGTTCAATCAATCGATCGAGACGGCGTTGCTGATGACAAATCAGGGTGCCTTCGGATTCCTTAATTACCTCAAGCCTATTTTCCTGGGGCCCATATTTTTAATTTGACGGAAAAGAGAGCGACTATTACCAATAGCAGCAGCTTTCTCCATCTTTCCAAACTTTTCAGTCCACCACTTCTTGCTGTCCTTCCTTAGACTTTTTATGAGTTGATTTTTAACGGATTTGCGCTCTGAGTCATATGTGGCATCAGGAGAAAGGGTTCTGCGGGCGTCCAGCAGAGCAGCCAAGGTGCTCTGAAGTTGCGTCTGAGTCCGCCGTTGATTTTATTGATATGTATATAGCTTCCTTGATTCGTTTCCAGTGTGCAGAGTCCTTTGGTTGGTGGTTCAACTGATAGTCGATAGAAGCATTCCGCTTCGAAGGCCAAGTTGCAACTATTACTGATGTTGTATCACGGGCATACGTTGCTGGCGGTTTTATTGCCGTTGTTTGCCAGGCGTAAGTAGGCCCATAAGAAAGCGTGATACGTATTCACTGGTGTTGACCAGTGAGAGCGGCAGTCTTTAATGGACCCTCTCCAGCGATAACTGACGGTGATGTGGTCGATTTGGGTCCATCTTTGTGAATAATTGGGGGATTTCCAATTAAGGCAGTACTGTTTCTTGTTCGAGGTTGCTGCTTGACAGGAAAAATCCGAGCAAAGTTGAAGTAGACGATCTTCGTTATCCGTTTGTTTGACTGGGATTGCATGTGAACTACCAAGTAGCCTTTATGATTCGTTCAGGGATCCCACTTGAATATTGAAGGCCCTAGCGACTACTGTGATGTTCCTTGAACGAACACTTTAGAGTGATAGAGAAAGATCCTTATAGAATTCATTCTTGATTTCAGGTGTATTACAATCGGTTGGTGCATATACCGATACAACGAATAAACATCGATGTTTCGTCCAGTATCTGCTGACCCGTGATAAACCATCCAAACATACAGCGCAAAGTCGGTTACTGACTGGAATCCAGTCAAGTGAACGCTTGGTCTGGACACGCAGTACAATCCCAACACCAGCAACACTGCGAGCTTCGGATGCCGAATAGTCTGACACAAGAAGAGTAAAGCGTGAGGATGACGACGGATCTGGAGAGCGTAGTGATAACTGAATTGGGGTTTTTTAGGCGTGTTTTGGAGACACAGCATACAGTCAAATTGAGTTTCAAGGGTTCCAGCAAAGGCAGCTTGTTGACCGATCTGATAGTGTGCAGAAATGGAATGTGGCTAGTTGAAAGGCTTCTGGTAGGTTGACCTCAATAGTTGAACGCTGAATGATACCCCATGGGTGGCGCAAACAAAAAGCATCTCCAAAGATTGAGGATTGAAAGGAAAACTGGAAACTTTCGGGCATGAAATACTTCACGATAGTCCACACCGACAAAGAGGTTTTTCTTGGGGAGCCCTAACCGGAGCCTTGGACTCAAAAGTTGGACCCACAAGGAAGCATGGCATAGATCCTAAGCGTGATCGAAGTACATGTATGGGATCTTCTATAAACGTATCACGAAAGGCCTCTGGGTTTCGACTGTGTGTTGTTCCCTACTGCGTTGATTGACGGTCCAATTTTCGGGATCAGCCCTTAGCCTAATGCACTCAATAAGACAGTCGAAGCTTGGACGGAGTAGCACTCTATTGGCTGGGCGTTGCCCAACTTGGGCGGGAGTAAGCTGTCCAGTGAAGTGCGAAAACTTCTCCCACCAGCGGGAGGAAGACCCAGGTACCCCGCTTCTACATCCATATAGCGAGGATTTTGGACCGGTAAAATGCCTCTCACCGTGTCTATTTGTTGGATTGACCTCTCCGGGGGCGTGCAGAGATAGCCAACGGGAGCCAACCCAAAAAAGGTTTTGAGGAGAGCTATTCTCAAGAGCTCCATAGAGGGACGACAGAAAACATGACCGAAACTAAATGATGCGCCCAGACGTAGACTGTTTCCCTGGTTGACCGACCACAAATATAACTTCGTTCGCCCAGTCCATCGCGAAGGGACTGCACTTTGACGTGGTGTGATGGCTTTCCTGTCTCCACACCCCTGCGAGCTACACAGGATGGCTTTTCACAGCCACAGATACAGTCATGCCTGGAACGTCAAAGGGTTGAGGCCGGACAAAGCTAATTCTCACAAAGCCAGCTGCTTGGGAACCTCCTGGTTTCCTTTGACTATCAACGCTCGTTCCTGGATAGGTCACTCCAGTAAATAAACACCGGCTAAAACCCCCCGCCAGGTGGACGTAGGAACGGGGTAACTGGGGCTTACTCTCGACCATGGGAGAAATCATTCATCGGATGGCTGCAACTCATTAAAGCGCGATCGCCAAAAGTAAATAAAGTGTTGTTTCGTCTGCATTCCGCCTGTCCCATTGAGTGTAAAGGCCAAGGGCAAAGCCCGAAAGGATGACCAACAATTAACTCAGCAGCAAACAAACCACTGAATCAAACCCAGCCTGGAGTGAAAAATCTGTAGGAGCTTTTACACGCTTCGGTTACCTCCCCGTCTAGCATCTAAGCCCCACTGTTTTGTGAGTGAGACCGAGTCGAAGAGTTCGATCAGTTTTTCCAGAGAAAAAGCCCTTCGTCGATTTGGGCTTCCACTAAGTACGTTGTGCTTTAAGGTTTCCTGCACCCATTAGGAAACCTCTCTCTCACTCATCTGTCCAGTTTGCCTTCACTCTCCCAAGTCTTGCGAGATACCACCACTGTTTCCACCACTAAGAGCATATCACTCACTAATAAGGTCAACCAATCAGAAGCTGCCCAATGAATGAAACACAAAATCCCGTTTTCACTTAGCTGTATTCAATGTTAGCACACTCCATCAGGTTGGCCAACCCTTCAAACTTTTAATATAGACCCAAAAGGCAGCGGAACGGTATGTGAAAACAGCAATCTATTGGCGGTCGGTGTCTAGTTCATCGGATCACACGTCCTTCGGACGGGGTCAAACGACCAAGGTACCCTACACACCTAGATACCCAATCGAGCCAATGACTACTACCGCGACCAGGAAGTTGTGTGTGGTTTGTACGCCTCTTCTTGGATGGTTTGGGATTAAGGATTTTTCACAGTTGACTCACAGTTGCTTGTGAGTAGTGATGTGAGATAATTTGATGTTTTTTATTGATTTGAGCTGACTATCCTTCGGACTCCACCTGCACGCACAATCCTCAGTTCATCGATTCAACCATATAGTCGGAAGCACTAGACCCGAGCTTCGCTCTTATTGGAGCTCATCAGTATTGCATATCCACCGTCCCGTCCGGGATTTGAACTCCAGACCCATCGCATGGAAGGCGTGTGCGTTACCACTATTAAATATCAATCCAGCCTTGTAGGTTCGTTGGCGAATCAGTCCGTAAATGCATGGAAGTACTGACTTTCGATTGGAGTTAACAGTATGTCATCTGTGTCTCCCTTCGTTGTTGTCGGGCCAAAAGGAACTAAGCTCCAATAAGAGCAAAACTCGAGTCTAGTGCTTCCGAGTGTATGGTTGAATCGATGCACTGATGATTGTGCGTGAAAGTGAAGTCCGAAGGATAGTCAGCTCAAATCAATAAAAAGTTAAGGATTTTAGCCAACGCTCTTAGGTGAACTGCCAATGGTTCACCGATCAGGTTATAGCCCTGGTTACTGGCCTAATGTCCTCTCACTTTGGTGGGAAAATACCTCCGCCACGGAAAGGCAGGAGTTGGATGGCAGTGATGGGGTTCGAACTTCGAATCATATGATCCAAAGCAGGCCAATTATAGTGACTGAGCCACTGCACCACCAAAAATAAACAGTTCCAGTTTTAGTTTGTACAATCAGCAACCCTGCACTTTCGTGCACCGGTTTCGGTTGATGCTTCATGATTGTCAATGTGGATGAAGTGCAGATGAAGAGTGAAAATAGAGAATTGATGAAGACTAAAGTTGTCAATAAAGTGAGAAGATGCACGAGCGTCGTTGTTCACGACAATCGACCATATCACTTAACATCTCTAACCACTGATTACGCTGATCCTGGTGTCCCCATTCAGGAAAGCTAACGCGACCTATGCGATCTGAAAAATGAAAAAAAAAATAATGAAATGGTCTGCCACCTTGTCTGATCACAAATTAGGTGAGAACATCTTGTGTAATGAACCAGAACTTACTTTGGCCATTTGTTGGAGCAGAGAGTCGATGTGTGGTGATTAAATGTCGTGTTAAAAACCGAATTTTCGTATTCGGATCACTGCCCGTATGAGTAGCACATAATGGGCATAACACATCAGTGTCCCCCGCCTCCTGGCCCCGATGTTTCTGAAAGACATGGCGTGAAAAGGACGTTTCGGTGAATCCAAGCTGTCCACAAAGTGGGCATGTGAAACTCTGCGCGATATACTCCGAGGAGGTCTGTAGGTCAGAATGGAATAAAAAGGACGGAGAAAAGGTTCATTCAACTATGGATTGACAATAATGTAGAGAAGTTTGCTAACGCGTCATGAGTTGCCATCTCTTCGGTGCATATTGCTCGAAAATCACTACGCTGATTTCAAAAAGAATAATTAAAAAATGGAACTCGATGATTTTGGAGTCTTGAATTAGTCAGTGGACATTGCTGGAGAACACTCAAAACATTACAAAAACAGTTGTTTGTGCAAACCATGTACCTTATGTGATCCAACGTGCTTGGTGGTTGGATGTTGCTGCTTAAAGAATTGTAAACTAACGAAAGATTCCATATCCTTAGCTAACTTCGAGCCTCCATACACAAATAGAAAATAACGCCAAATGCATCTAATATACTACAATCGCATTCATTCACACAGGCAGCATGTAGAGATTCAGGTATAAACAACTCCCCTGCAAGAACAGTCACATGTTTTTTCATGCCAAATTCGCGCCAGCCAGAAATAAATGCTTTGTCAACCTTCACACAAGATTTTTGCACAAAATCACTCCAAAATTATAACCTGCGGATATCGACATTCCCACAGTCGATAAGGATCTTAGAGGCGTTACACATGGAGTGCGATTCGATCCAATGTTTCACTTCCGTTTTGGATTGAGTAAATTATCAAAGAACGCACAAGCTACACCGAACTTCTAGATAATCATTGTTTGGGATCGTCCGCAAATCTCCGTTAGGTGGCATCAAGGCATGATTCAGCGTGAACAGTATAGTAAATCAGAATCAACGCAATATACGTAATGCCGGTGGTGGTGGTGGTGGCAGTGATTTAGTCGCTTCCACCGTTGAAATTTGGATCCTATGGTCCAAGGCCTGAGACCGGCCAACGCCACCCAACTTTGGTTGTAGACAGCTTTACTGTCGTCTGGTTCAATACCACGCCTATCCTAAGGGGGCCTCATGTGGTTTGACGTTCCAAGTCCCGGAGCCTAATTTTCCGGCTTCCTTGAGTGAACTGCAGGTTTAGGTGACTATGGGGTTCACCTCTTGTGCTGCTCATCACACAAAAATGTGCAATACAAAAAATAAAACAACACTTGAAGCGGATAATGACGTATCAGCTCTAATTTGAGGATCAAACATTTGGGAATAAGCCAACTTTAACAGAGGTAATTTGTTCCAAATTATGATGCATGTTTAGGAGATAAAAGAAGATGCAAAAAATAATCAAGAAGAGGAGATATAAAGCTAATCCGAATTTCTACATATGGTTGTGGTAAACCATCGTCTTTCCTCAGGAGGTGGCTATTTCTTAAGTTTTCATAAGTCACCGATAGTATGCAAAAGAACAGCGAGAAATATGAAGAACTGTTTAATCTATTTGTTTATAGCAAGTGCATTTCCGTGTATCCATATTTCACGTTGGTGGTGCCATCATGCATGCGATACCAAGCGCCTGAGCAAATCGATGTGGAAACGTTCAGGTTATGTCGAACTACTCATTAGTAGTCTAAGTATAGTGGCATAACTTATCTCAGGAAACCAACGATAAATCATCGTACAGGGAAATAAAGAGAAGCGAACTTCACTGATCGCTGCCAAACTCGCAATGCACATGCATTGGAGTTTGATGGACGGGTACTGCTAGGGTGTCCAGCCACTAAGCAGGAGAACGATTAGGGTTTTCAACCAAAGCCTTTAGTTCTAACAAGAACCTAACCGCAACGCAGTGGGTGAAGCGAAGTGGAGGCTCATTTACTCAGATCAATTATTCCCCTACTATTTTTACCGCCTGAGACGCCGACTGAAGTGGAACCCCCAACTTGGAGTACCAGGAGATTGAACTTCGTCTGACCTTTACCCCTCGACCTTCCAGGCATGAATAGATCTTCGGCTTGATAAAAGCCATCCTGTGTGGCTCGTTGGGTCAGAGGTGCACAAACCATCACACTACGTCAAGGTGCAGTCTCGTCGTGATGGACGATAAATCAACCTTGGATGAACTCGTTGGATAACGGTAGTGAAAAAGCCATTATGACGTATTTATGTACAATATCTTATTGATGCTGAATCCTCATCGTAAAGTCTAATGGCATTATTAAATCATCAAAGGTATACATTGAACTCTTGTCCAAAAGCTATTTATGTTTCCCAACGGGTCATTGCACTTCAACCTGCCCCCGCGACACCACTAACGCCACAGCAGGAGCTGCAGGCAGAATACTGTACAGAAGACGATTATTAAGCGTTTGCAGCATAAGTCTTCATTAGCGAAATATACTCAACTTATTTCATTGTGTTAGACCACTTCGTAAAGCGCGCGTGCATTAAAGCGTTTGAGGATAAAAAACGCACTCTTATGGAATACGCTAAGGGGGTTTTACGAAGCTAGCTGATGCGCCACAAGAAATATTCACTGAAGCGTACAGGGAAACAAAAGCTTACTTCGCCATTATAAAATAATTTATGATCCGCTTTGGGAATCAAGCATTGCATTGGATGGGTTCGCAGGTGCTGGTTTGTTTCGCATTGATTATCGAAGCAAGTCCCGCATAAATCGTAGTCGCAGCACACTAAGCATTTGTACCGACGCAAGCGAAAGTCCCTCTGCGAGCACGCATCGCACGTAACTCCTAAAATATAGATAAAAACAAATGATACAAACCTCAAGGGATTCGTTAGTATACGAGAAGAAGACCGAAAAATAACAAGAATGACACCAAGCGACAGAAATTACAAAACGCCTGAGTTGTTCATCTTAACACGAGGAATGGTAAAGGTACACACCGTAAGTATAAGGATGTAGTATTTAGCTATGACAAATGGAAAGCTGAGACATGGACCGTTGAATTACACACGTGACGGATGGGTCTTGATTTCATCCAGGGAAGTGCCACTGTTTAGTATAAAAGCATAATGTGGTTGGCCACTTCATACTCCCTGAGTTTTGCTGGTTTGCACTTATTATATCCTGAAACATGCATCCACGAGAAAAAATCGCAATCGCACTCTGAACTCTTAAATCGCCTTCATTAACATTTGTGACCATGGAAAAAAATATATGGATTCTGTTCAGCCGTGTTCCATTCTTGTCTCATTTTTGTTCGAAACTCATTTATCCTCAGTCAGACGCTACGAATCTCCAAGGTCGGAACGATTCTCTTCATCACTCGTTCTGATTTGTGCATCTATTCGTCAATCTATTGCTACCACACCGCTCTCTACATTAGTTTGGATGATACACGATTAAACTAACCCAGGTTGTGATCACGTCGAGATTTGAGTTGATGTGAACAAGTTGGATCGACAGCGGAAGGCATTATTTCAAACGCAATATGAGCACGATAAAGAGCAGTGAACAAAAGCATATGTGGGGTTGGAAGGGTCGGAGAAGTCGTTAACCCGCAACAGGTGTAGCGGGGCAGGATAACGAAACCATGGAGACCTGCGGACGCACCTTGAAGTTTTATTACACACGAAGTGATTTACAGCAAAAGGGACAAACCCCATAATCAATGATATACTGTAAGAGAGAGGTATGTGGGGGAACATTCTAGTAAAAACCAATTTGTTAATCCTGTTTTTGAAAAGGGTAAGATATAATAGCTGGGAAACAAAAATGGGAAGTGTACCACAATTTCGCAGTCCTCGGGAAAAAGAAGACTGATAGATAGAAGTCCAACATCTGGGGACAGATACCTGATAAGGGTGACTGGTCGCCTGAGAACGAGAAGGTCAATGGGAGGATTGCGATGGAGCCGTCGCTTGGGGAACGATGGATCCACCTGAAGTGCCGCAGGGAAACCAAAAGCAGATAATCTTTGTGCTACACTCGTTTGAAACCACTCAATATATCTAGATGCGATTCATCATGACTATTCTTTGCTGAGCACCAAACGTTTTCGTTTCAGTTTGTACAACCATTGACCGCGCATATTCGTGCACCGGTTTTGGTTGCTGTCTTTTGGCTGCCCATTTGGGTGAAGAATAGGAGAAGAAAGGAAAGTTGAAAGACGAGTCGGACAGAAAATGGAGAAGTTTAGTGGTCTAAGGTTGCAAACGAATTGAGAAAATGCACGAACGACACTGTTTACGACACCCAGCCACATCGCTCATTGCCTCTAACCATCAGGTACGATCATCCCGAAATCCCCAGCCAGGGAGCCTAATAGGACCTATGTGACCCAGTCTCCTGGTTAGGGTTTTCATACCCTCGTGCCAGGTCTTAACTTGACCACCCTTGGCTTTTTTCCACTCTGTATCTTCTTCGCCGTGGTAACCTACCTGGTGACATGCGTAGCACATGTCCCAGCCAACGTAATCTATGGTTGATCTACTTGCTCCAGTGGGCGACCGTATTCACCCAAAACTCTGCCCCTAACCTCAGCATTGCTCACATGCGTAGTACATGTCCCAGCCAACGTAATCTATGGAGGTCGACCACTTGCTCCAGTGGGCGACCGTATTACCAAAACTCTAGCGCCTAACCTCAGCATTGCTCATCCGGCTACCCCACCAGATTCGTGCAATGCTGTGTAGAAAGCGGTGCTCAAACACCGGCAGTCTGTCGTTTTTCCTGTTTCCTTAATGGCCAAGTTTCTGCAAGGTATAGCAGGACTGGCCGAACTGTCGCGGCATACACTCCTGGGTTCAATATGGGAGAGAGAAGATGTTCCAGCTGAATGGTGAGTCATTGATCATACCGATTTACAAGAAAGGTGATAGATCCTCTTGTGAAAACCATAGAGGAATTAGTTTAATTGACATCGTCTCTAAACTTCTCGCTGGCATCATACTCCGTCGATTGTCTGCCGCACGTGAAC